GACCTGTCCAGGTGAACCTGCCTTCACCCTGAGTCAGCTGGGATAGACTCCAGCCCCCCACGACCCTAGTGAGGATTAAACGGTGTATAGATGATGGATGGATGGATATTCCACAACCATGACCCGGATGACTGAGAATCTTCACAGACATATCGGTATGTATACTTCTGGGTCTGGAGAAACAACAATGGAGGACACCCACTCGTACAAGAGTTTTACTGAGTTTTGTATTGAAATTGCCTTTAAGTCTTTAAAATATAAAGACATTCAAGTAGTGCTTAGCAAGAGGCACAGTCTTCACAAAACATCCAATAAGATTGATGTGACTTTCCCGAGAAAGATCTCGCAAAAGATACCTGTATTTTTTCCCCCTCTCCCTGTTTTGTTTTCTTTCTCCGTGTCCTTTCCAGGCTTCCGTAGAGTTGTTGGTATATATCGTTAAGATATGCTTTTGTCACTCACCTCTTATCTTATCGTAGTCTGTGTCATTTGCTGCCACGCTAGCCAGTTTCTCAATCTCTGTTTGTATGGAAATAATCTGTAGGACTGAAAGGAAGTTTAAACATTGATAATTATATGTGATTATTATGATTGTGCAATTATTAGCTATATTATTACAGCAGTATGAACAACTTCACAGCTTCACAGTTGTTTGTTAATTAACTCACGTCTTTGTGGTTGTAAACTTCGTTTCCTCAGCTCTTCTGTTTTTTTGTCCAGTTCTTTAGTTTTTTCATCTATAATTTTTTGGAGTTCTGCAAAAAAAAGACAAAACCTTTAAGAAAAAGAGTCCTGTATATTTGATACGGAGTTACACAGTCGTGCTTTAATAAACAGTTCACTGTCCGTACTGTTGTGCACCACAATGAAAAAACACCCACCTTCAACCTTGGATTTGGATTCAGTGTTTTGTAGTTGTCTCTTCAGTTCGTCCACTTGCAGAGTTAATGTAGTGATTTGAAGTGCTGAAAGAATCAGACAAATCATCAGTATTCAAGGTTTTTATTATCCTTGTAACTTTACATGCACAACATCTGCATACGAGTCCTGGAAAGTATATTTCTACCAATTTTGACAAACACGATCCACGTGAGCAGGTGATGGAATATTAACTGAGTATCAGTGTGCATCAGTTCAAATCTAATTCATTTATATTGTTTACAATCGAAGTCAACTCAAGGTACTTCACATATTAAGGTCAAGAGCTCACAATATAGAGAGAAACCCAATAATTCCTTTTAAGCAACACTTGGCAATAATGGGAAGGGGAAAAAAACCTCCCTTTTAACAGGAAGAAACCTCCAACATCGGCAAGCTCAGGGAGGGTGAGGTGAGAGCAGAGACCTCTTGTGACAACTTATGTCTTTAATGTAAATGAGCACAAAATGCTAATAAAATATGACTGAAAGATCTCTTTAGCTGGAGGTTTTAAACAGTCTTCTTAGACACCAGAAAAAAAACAAAAAACACTTAAGTAGAATATAATCCAGACTTCCACTCACACACAGGCAGGGAGGGAAAATGTAATGGTTCAGAAACTACATTTGATTATATTAGAAGAAGAAGAATAGAACTTTCTTGATCTCTTTGGTGCAAACCTCAGGGAAATTGTTGTACTAGAAAAACACCAACAGAACAACATTACGGCACAGTAGCGACGCTTTGCAACTCACCAAGTGAACTAACTGTGTCAGATTTGGATTGCAGCTCCGTTATTTTGGTATCCAGGTTGTTCTGAAGCTCTGCAAGAAAACGTTTATAAAAGCAGTTGAATGAATGAATGAATGAAATATGTATTTCTAACAAAAATACCATTACAAACAATAAAAAACAAGGGAAAGAATATACAAACATGAGTTCGAAAAGGAGCAAGAAGTATAACCTTACTAACCCCCCTATCACCCTATGATTCATTACAATATTACATGTTCCTATGTATAATAAATGGATTTAATATGTGCATCAATATATAATCAATTAACTGCACCGATATACAGTATATAATTGAACTTCATACATAATCAATGTCTTGACAATAAATGTGTTATTTACTAATAGATTGTTAAAGAAATGTATATTACCAATATAATATATCACAACAGTACACGACATAAATATATGTACAGGCCTACATACACACACATACATATTAATAAGTAATGGATTTAATACACAATATTATGTTATATATAACCATATTTGGTCGCCCTCATTAGGATATATGTGATACTAATTAATCAATAACAAATAAAAGCTATGGAGGTTTACGACAACTATAGACATATTTACAAGGTTTATATTGTATATGATCAGTAATCACAGTGTTAATGCAATCTTCCTCCTCATACCAACTCAATATATGTTTTTTCTATGCGATTTGAAGTGATTGATATTTAAACTGGATATCTAATATGTTCCATAAAAGCAGTTGATCCCACCGAAAGATTTCCAAAATCAAGTAGTGACACTCACCCTTAATTTTCTGTTCAGAACACTGAGCCTCCGTCTGGTTCAGTTTGTTCTGCAGAGCTAGTGGAAAAATACCATTATGAAGCGACTCGAAATCTTACTTTTCTTGCAGAAATCTAAACACGACAGGACTGAACCCACCTCCGATCACAGCTTGATCACGAGAGTGCTCCTCCTCTTTATTCTTTAGTTGTTCCCTCAGCTCTAGAAGAAACAATGTGTGCTTCAGCTTTAGAAAGAACCACCAATAACACAGGTTTTCAGTATTGCAAAAGAGAGGGAGTGCTCTCACTTGAAATTGTAGCAGAAGCTGTTTGGCTCTCGGTTGGCTTTGCTTTTTCTAGGTTTCTGAGCTGGCTGTGCAGACCAGCGATGCTCAAAACTGACAGACGCAGAAAGAAGACACGAAACAGGAAACAGTTGAGACGATCTCCTCAGTGACGACCTGCAGACATGCTGCTCTCTCTTTACTCACTCAGTTTGGCAGCTGTCGGGTTCTTCTCATTCAGCTTGCTGACATAGTTCTCCAGCTTTGTCTTCTTGCTTGCGAGGTCATTTTGGAGCTCTGAGGCAAAAGTAAAAACAGATTGTTGAATTCACAAGAAATCAATCCGATGCTGCTGTACCGCTTTGGCACATGATCACACCATCTCTCACCATTCATGAGTTTGTTACAGTCCATCACAAGCATTTGTACCTTGAGTCTTTTTTAGGTTTTTGTACCAGATTGGCCCTAAATCCGTTGCCTCTACTCCAGCTGGAGATACTTACGGGTAGCGGTGGTGTTTTGTGGCATATGGGGGTTTGACAGCTGTCTCTCCAGGTGTTTTATTTGACTCTGCAGGAATATGATTCTCAGCACTGACACACAACACAACAGAGAAGTGAAGATGTAGTTTACTACAGGGGATGCTGCAATAACATGAAACAGAATTGCTCACATGACTCACTCAGTTGTGTGTTGCTGCCATCTTGGTCATCTATTTCACCCAGAAGACCATCCAGTCTGTTTTGCAACTCTGTAAAAAAGAATACATTTCTGACTCGACTGTCGGGGAGAACGTCACCCTGAAGTGTTCAGCTGGCATTTTAAATCACACTAACTTTTCAGATTGCCGCTTGTGGGTCCGTTGGCAGCTTTCTTCTGAAGGTCCCAGATCTCTTCCTGCAGCTCGATGATTGTTAAGACTGAAACAAACAAAGTGAGTCTGTTTATATCAGAAATTAATCTTGTTAATCCTAAATTTATTTTTAAAAAAAGTCTTTGTCGCTCACACCTTTATGGAGCTTTGTACCAGGCTGGAAGCATTAATCATACCTCTACCAACTCGCCTCTATTTTTCCCATTTTGAGATCAAATTATTGCATCTTGCTGAATGTAGAGTCCTGCATGTTTTAGAAACTGCAAAAAAAGTCCAAGATGCCAAGTGAAGCCTTCCTCTTTTCTTACAAGATCCTTTTGTCATCCAATTGATGCTTTTTACATCAACATTTATCGAGATTTAATTAGTCTGACTCACCGGATGAAGGATGCTGGCACACTTCTATGTCTGTGTTGGACTATGGAGACACGGTATACATGAATGCTTTAGAGTGTTTTAGATTCAGTGTATCACTGCACTTTACGGTTTATCACCACTTTTACACATCATTGTTTGTTGTGCTCTCGTGTTGGATGGTCAGATTTGACCACATGAAGGAAAAAACACTGGAATATTTTAATTTATAAATGTATTTTAGGCTTGCTTCCTAATTTTTTATTTCTACAAAAGCTGCAAGTGGTTACAGTCTGCGGTCCCAGGATCTGTTGCTGCTGTCTGTTCCCAAGGTTAGAACTAAACGGGGAAAGAAAGCTTTTAAATTTGCTGCTCCCTCTACCTGGAACACTTCACAAAGAGATCTGAAACTGCAATGGCTGGTTTCTTTAGACACTTTTAAAGTGTTTATAAATGACTTGGAGGCAAAAACATCAGTCTGTAGATGTTTTGAAAGATGATCATTTTTGCAAGTTGTGTTTCTGATCTCTGCTGATATGTTCGTTTCTTATCTTCTAAATTTAATCTCACCATGTGTTATGACTAATGATGTCTGTTTGGATGCTGCTGGGACCTCGTCTGTCTGTCAGTTGTGCTGCTGCCTGTCTTGGCCAGGATGCTCTAATCTCAATGAGCCTTCTCCTGCTCATATCAATCTGCTTTGTCCTTTCTTCTGCTATTTGTTTGTTTCTGTTTTCATCGCCATAGAAAGCAGCAACAAGCTCTGAGCAGCAGCCTACCACACTGAACATTTCGGGTTTTGCAGAGGATGTGAATTGTGCAGTGAGGCTTTGCTGCTTTCATTCAATTTGAATTTCTGTCAGTTTGTGTTTGATGAATATGTGAGCCAAAAACACAATGCCTACCAGGCATCTTCTACAAGGGAAAGAGGATTTAAAACTTGGTTTTAACAAAAGGGGTCTTTCAGGAACCCATCAGGTCTGATGAGTTTTGTCAGAGACCAGAAAGCTGCATGAGGAAAATCAAGGAACCCCCTCCACATATTCACCAGATCCCAGCGCTGACAGGATCTGCTGGATGTCATTTATGCCAAATTCGGACAAAGACAAATCAAATTTCCCCTTGATTCAGGCTTAAACAATGAGTCCAATCATCACAGAATCAAATCAAGAAGCTCACCTGTTCTCGGATTGTCATTCAGTTTCTCGATGTCTTCAGTCTTGGAGTCCAGCTCTCGTTGCTTTTTCTGCAGTTGACTTTGCAGCTCTATAGTTAAACAGAAGCAGTTGTCATCAAGGGAGGTTTAAAGGAAAAAGTTCATACATTTCTAAGTGTTATTAAACATAAAAGTTAAAAAAAATCTGAAGATATAATTTCACTTTTTTTTTTAACAGAACTCAAAAGGTGAAATCAGGTCACGTTTAATTCCATGTTAAAATATTTTTAAGAATTCCTCAAGACTACAGAAAATGCTAATTTCCAGATAGAACAACATATTAACGCACACACAGTTTTCGCTGACTATCACTCCTGTCGCTCACCTGAGATCTTGTCTGGGTCGTCTGAGCTGGAGATCTCTTCCCTCAAAGCTTTCACCTCATCACGCAGCTTGATCACATTCAGAACTGACCCAAAATCAAAGTAAACATCACTGCTCAGAATATAAAACAATCAAATCAAAAACTGGTAAAATGGAGCTGCAGTGTGACATAACTCACTGAGCGCCACTGTGGAGTCTCCAGTTCTGTTCAGTTCTGCAATCTTCTGTTCATATTCAGTCTTTACCTCTGATTTTTTTTTTAAAAAAATCACTCAAATCACAACAGAATCTAAAACACGAATCATCAAACGTTATTGCTTAAGTCAGATTTACGGCTTACGCTCATATCTTGTCTCGGGTCCAGAGCACGTTTTGTTCTTCAGTTCCAGTTTCCTCTGCAGATCTGTTGTATGGAAAAGGTTATGAAAACTCTAATCTGAAGTTATGATGCAAACATTTTCAGAAAAATCTTACTTACCTCTTATTTCAGCCTGAGCTTTGGCGTACTCCTTTTCTTTGGCTTGAAGCAGAGCTACAAGGAGCAGATTTAAAACAAGGAAATGTAAACACATTTGTTTGAGGGAGAAAGTAACGGCACAGATGAGACGCTCATTTTTTTGTTACTATGATTACATTCTGTCAGAAAAGGTGAATCTGGCTTTTCCTTGGTGTGAATGATCAGAAATGCAGAACACAGAATGAATGCTTTACTGCTGCATTACCTGATTTTCTATACGACGTTAACAATGGACAAAACAGAGGAGGACTCACAATTGGTTTGAGCGGTCGATGTTGTCAGCTGTTGCTCTCTCACTTCTTCCATGATGCTGATGAGTTTCATGACTGAACAAAAGAAAAGAAAAGGCTTGTTATCTTCAGAGGTTTATGCACTGCAGCCTTTCTATAACATCTATTTCTATGTAACTGTTCCGTCCTGCAATGACATTTGTTGCTCCACTTTTTGCCCTTACATATCGCACTAAAGCATGAGCGTCACAATTTCTAATCCCGTTAACCAACGTCATCCCCACAGATCTAAATGCAGGCGTTACTTCAGTCACTGTTTCTACTGAAGTGTGAGCAGTCTTTGCCATCCTGCCATCCAACAAGGCTCACTCTGCGAAAGTCACTTCTCTTTTCTTCTTCCCATCGTGATATCCATCCATCCATTATCTATACACCG